TTGTAATAATTACACAGGATGTTTCCAATCGCCAATAAGCTCTACGTACATCGTTATGTATTTATTTATGAGCATGTATTAACGATAACGCGTAGAGATGCGAATAATTGACCAACACTTGGAATTTATCGAGCGCCATTTTGACATTAGATAAATCGTTAACTTAAATACAGTTTTTATTTTTCTCGTCTTGTCTGGATTCTTTTTAGGTTTTAGACAGACGTTTAAAATATTTGTCGACTTGATTTGTGTGAATGTCTAGAGAGAGAGAGAGATAGAGAGGGAGAGAGAGATGGGTTTAACGTCCACTCGACACAAACTAGGTCATTTCGGGACTAACATAGATTCAATTTTATTTCAATAATTCGCTTGGGAGTAGGGGTCGATAGCAGTGGGAGGAAATTGGAGGACCCAGAGAAAACCCACGAGGTTGGACAGACGATCCTACGCCTTGTCACGTACAACCGGGAATCGAAACAACGAAAGTTGACTCAATGACAGACTTTATGATACAGCGCACGCGCTAATCATTCGGCTATCTAACCCCTCGAATGGCTAGGGATGAAGGGTGAAGGGTTGTTGTGAGGGGTGGAGGAATGTTTTGGTTTATTTTGAACACCGTAAGTCTTTATATACCTATCCACATTGTAATTGACCTCGGTGACCTTAAAATGATAATAAGGGGTTGATAATTCACATTGGCCCCAGTAACTGAAAGATTTTATTTTGTGCGGTTGCCACTAGACGAATCTTCCGGTTGCATTTTACCCGTTGGCCGTGTTGTCCGTTTATCACTTTTAACACTGTCTTTTGCCATTTTGTCCGTTTACCGTTTTATCTGGTTCTCTTTTTACCCATGTTGCCGTTTTGTCCGGGTCTCATTTTGGTCGGTTGCTTTTTTGTCAGATTGCCATTGCCGTTTTGTCAGGTTGCCATTTTATTAGGTTGCCGTTTTGACAGGTAGCCATTTTATTAGGTTGCCATTTTATTAGGTTGCCGTTTTGACAGGTAGCCATTTTATTAGGTTGCCATTTTATTAGGTTGCCATTTTGTCCGGTTGCCATTTTATTAGGTTGCCATTTTATTAGGTTGCCATTTTGACAGGTAGCCATTTTATTAGGTTGCCATTTTATTAGGTTGCCATTTTGACAGGTAGCCATTTTATTAGGTTGCCATTTTATTAGGTTGCCATTTTGTCCGGTTGCCATTTTATTAGGTTGCCATTTTGTCAGATTGCCATTTTAAGGTTGCAATGTTATTTGTTTCAGTTGTGTCTATTGTCACTTTGTTCATTGCCATGTTGTCCGATTGCCATTTTGTCGGTTGCCCAAGGATAAATAATATGTTAGCCGTACTATAATGGATCTTGGAGCGATTACAGAAAATGTCTACCAATTTTATCTAGCATCTAATTTCTAGCCTAATATTCACTGCACGTGCCTCATGTGGTCCAGTATCGCACACGACACCAACAATCCAATTATTGTTCAAAATGATTTCAGGAATTTGTTGAGGGTTTTAACTCCCACTTCATAAATCTTCAATTATTGTGCAAAAAAACTTTAAAATATCGCTATCCTAATCAAGGGTGTTTTTTTTAAAAAAAGAAAATGTACGTGTAAGGATATCAAGGGTCCGTATAACCCTCTTATAGTCTCGATTAGTTTAAAAGTTGACATTTACAAAGTTGCTCATTAACACTTGATGTGGCTGAAGTGCGTGGTTTTATTATTTCCAATACTAGAAATGATAGATCTGTATAACCTGACATCCGGGACTACATTAAGGCGGTAATTACTCTCTTTTCGCGCTTCTATTAATTGTATTTATAGGTAGAGGTTTCTTCGATCTATTGGCGACGATAATGAACTTATTGATCGAGTAAAAAGGTCACCGGCAAATACTGATCAAAGTTTTTAAATGTCTCTTCGTTTCCAATCGACTCGAAGGAGATCTTATCCCAACATGGCTTCTAAGATTTATCGCTTTGCTTTTCTTATTGGCAGAAGTCGGCCGCTTGGCACGTTGTCGATAAGGCCGCTACAGACATTGATGGGTATTAACGATTTTAAAGAAGACGATTGGGTTTGATATATGACTTAAAGTTGGTCAAATCGAATATTGAATTTAATTTCACTTAGTTAATATAAATGAACAAATTAGTTTTAAATGTTATTTTGATATTTTAGCTGTCGACGAGACATTAATTTCTGATTATTCTTTATAGAAAGAGAGTCAGAGGAATTAGATTTAAAACTTAACACCGATTGTCGCGCCCACTCCCCCAATTTCTTTCCAATAACCCGAGGGGTTGGGTGGTCGAGTGGTCTGACGCGTGCGTTTGAGAGAGAGAAATAGGGTTTAACGTCCACTCGACACAAACTAGGTCATTTCGGGACTAACATATGGTTCAATTTTATTTCAATAATCCGCTTGTGCGTGGGGGGTTTTAGCTGTGGGAGGAAACCGAAGGACCCGGAGAAAACCCATGAGGTTGGACAGGTGACACTACTCCTTGTCACGTACAACTGGGGAATCTAAACCACGCGAGTTGGCTCAATAATAGACCTTATGATACAATGCACACGCGCTAACCATTCGCCCCCACCCCCGCATCAAATGTAAAGATATGTCATATCAGTCAACATATGATTAGGTTAATATATAATTATCTGTGATTCCGATGGATCGGACATTTGTTGCCTGGGATCGTGTGGTTTTCTCTCGCCATAAGACGCGACGTGAACCTGTCAAACGGATCAATAATTTAAATCAGCGATAAATTAAACGCTTTACAAGAATGATGAATGATGAAGATGGTATGTAAGAGTACTAACCATTAATTCCGATATATAAAAATTTGTCCGGTCTATAGTCTATTCAATCTTCATGGTTTAATGAGTATGGCGCCGGGATCTCCTCGTTTGCCAGCTAGGGACGAAGTCACTGAACCACCGTGGCTCGACAGTTTTATTTTAAGTACATCGTCAAGAGATAACTATTATTACCAATGTACTCGAGCAAAAAGACAATACGACGCCATTTTAAAATTTATATACATCGTGTGAAGGTCAACATTTAGTAATTGAAATGGTTCGGGTTCTAGTGAAGCGTAAACAAATAGTTCCATGTTGCATGCAGTCTGCACGCGCCAACAATTGTTCCGCCATTTTGATTACAAGAAAACAATGAATAATTTATGGAAATGTCCGTTGTTAATTGTTTACGACAAACCAATAGAATGTTCCCAACAGCATTTTGAAATTGTTTCCATTGTTCTAGTTGAGAGAATATACAAAATTTGATATTGTCTCGGGGGAATCGTTTGGCTGCAACGCTTGACATGCGCATTGATTTTTTTTCCTGACTTTAGTATTGCAATCAAAAGAGAAAATAAGGACATATTATGTTGTCATTGTTTGTAAATTAACAACTGAATAGAACGAATTAGATTGTCGGAGACAATTGTAGTTTAACACACATTGTTCGTGGTAAATTGTTTTCTTCGTGTTGAAATAACGAGACAGTTATTGAAAAAACTGTTGTTGGATATTGAAAAAAAATAGACAGTTTTGGATATTGAAAGAAATAGACAGTTATTAATGTAAATACTTAAACTGTCTCCATGTTGAAATAAGTAGACAGTTTGCGTTCAAAATATTTAAATTGTCTTCATATTAAAAAAAAGTGACCAGTGTTGGTGGTAAATACTCAATTTGTTTAAATATCAGTTTGAAGTTGGGTATCAGAAATAAAAAGTATATATTTAATTATGCCCGATGTGTTGATGTGTGTAAAATAAAAATAGAACTGACGGTTTAATTCAGTTTGTCGGTTTAATTAAGTCTTCTGTGATGATGTCTTCTGTGTTGATGTCTGTTTCGCTTAGTCTTCTGTGTTGATGTAAATCTTCTGTGTTGATGACTATTTAGCTAGGTCTTCTGTGTTGATGTTTGTTTAGCTAAGTCTTCTGTGTTGATGTTTGATTAGCTAAGTCTTCTGTGTTGATCCCTGTTTATAGTTAAGTCTCTTGAGTTCCCCGAGAGTACCAATGTTATGAAACAGCTAGTTTTGTGTTCCACGGACAACATTTTAACCCAAATAATACAAACCAAACTGACGTGAATTTAATCGGATATATTTTTTTTTCATCACTAATCGAACCAACCCAGTTCAACACCTTATATTGAACTAAATCACTTTAAAAATAACCAAAGAAGATATGGTACATAACGATTGACAGAGAGAGAGAGAGAGAAATGGGGTTTAACGTCCACTCGACAAAAACTAGGTCATTTCGGGACTAACATATGGTTTTAATTTTATTTACATAATTCGCTTGCGCGTAGGGGTCTTTAGCAGTGGGAGTAAACCCCATTTCATTTCATTTCATATCATGTCTCGTTAACACAACACCTAGTTTATTTTGAGACAAAACCACGGTAATATGAGTGGTTATGTTGACAATGCCTAGACGACCTTCTCTTCGTCTATTTCAATTTGTCAATCGTTGAATCCCCGGTTGTACGTGACAAGGAGTAGGGTCGCCTGTCCAACCTCGTGGGTTTTCTCTGGGCCCTCCGGTTTCCTCCCACTGCTAAAGACCCCTACGCGCAAATTATTGAAATAAAATTAGACCATATGTGTCGAGTTGACGTTAAACCCTCTCTCTCTCTCTCTCTCTCTCTCGCTCTCTCTCTCTCTCTCTCGGTTGGTGCAGAACAGTAAGACGTTAAACACCCATTTCATTTCATTTCATATCAATCTCAGGATTGAAAGAGAAACTTGTAGTCTTACTTTAAAATTTTGGCTTCCGGTGCCGACAAAATCCGTTATATCTCAACGTTGGCTTTATCAGTAAATCAAAATATAATATCCAATTATATGACTACTTTCATTTTAACGCAAATCGAATAGTTCGTCTTATTGTAAGTTAAACACCATTTACAACGCTTCAGAGTACTGTAATATTAATTATTTTTAATCTCCTTTTCTTTCAGGTGCTGAGCAACAGTATGATAGTCTGACAGAGTTATCCACCCTTGCCTAACCATGTCTGTATCAAATCCAGTAGGGGGATACCCTACTACCGGTCTACCCGGTCACTATGGTAATACCACAGCGGATATATTCACTGGAAACGGAAGTATGGCTGGGAACACTACGGCATTGTCTGTTATGACGACGGGATCGCCATCATGCACGTGGGATCAAGTGCTTGGTACAACTGTTTGTGACGTGATCCAAGACAACGTGACGAACGCTACCGTGGAGAACGCAATGTCGTTTGATCCGGCGGAATCGCTGTTTGTTACAATATTTTTAGGAATATTAGCCGGATGTATTAGTGTGTTAACAATTCTGGGGAATATCCTGGTATTACTGGGATTCGGCTTAGAACGAAGTATACGACAGCCTACGAACTACTTTCTTGCCTCTTTAGCTGTGTCCGATCTGCTCATAGGAACCTTCTCCATGCCCTTGTTTACCCAGTATATATTGCTAGATTTCTGGCCGCTAGGAACGTGGCTATGTGATCTGTGGCTTTCATTGGATTGGACCGTCTGTCTTACGTCACAGTATACAGTATTTCTAATCACGATGGATCGGTTTCTCTCGGTGAAAATTCCGGCAAAATATCGAAATTGGCGAACGGAACGAAAGGTGCTAGTGATGATCGCCATCACATGGATTTTACCCATGTTTGTATTCTTTACTTCTATTATCGGTTGGCAGTATTTCGTCGGTGAACGCAAAGTGGAAGAGTACACGTGTGAAGTTCAGTTTATGGGCGACCCGTTGTTCGTGTTTTTATTAACTCTCGGCTATTACTGGATAACCTTAGTGGTAATGTGCACGTTGTATGCTGGCATCTATATGGTGGCACTGAAATTGCAAAGAAAGTCTGACGCGAAACAAAAAATACTGAAATCTGCCATGGAACTAGCCGCTGATCACGCTGGTGTTCGGAACACTATCTCTAACAGCAGTGATAGTCCTGTACCAAAAGCTAAATCCAAAAACAAAAAATTCACCGTGGAAAATAACAAGCCCGCTAAAGGTATGACAAAAACTACGAGCTTTAGCAAGCAGAAACCGAAAGATAACGACGACGATCGATCAAGCAGTCCCGCGTTTGCTTCGGATGAAGAGAATAGTAGTAGCCAGGGAGCTGGGGGCGGATCTAGTAAAACACCTCTGACCTCCAATAACAAACCGAAACGAATCAAAGAACAGGAGGGGTTCATAAACAATGCATTACAGCCCGATTCTTGTAAGCTTCACAGGTCCCCTGTAGAGTTCCTTTTACCGACTCAAATGCCGGGGATTAATCTGCTCTCTAATCCAGAGGTACGAGTGGATTTTCCGAGTGAAATTGGAACCGACCCATCCACTCACGTTATTGACATTGACATGTACTCCTCATCTGGAGAACGAATGGAGAGGTCCTCCATCCCATTATTGCAAAATGAAATTTTCAAAGGAAGCAAATATATCGATGAAAAGAGCTTCCAATCATTAAACTCTGAGAACATTAAATTTTTAGTCGACTCTGCTCCCAACGATACAGCCGACGACGCCGAGGATCAAGGTTCTCCCGTATGGAGGCGACGTTCTTCAGTTGAAGGTGGTATCTTGGTAACTGTTGATGCACCATCTGGCCCAGCACCTTTACAGGATAAACGGGAGTTTATGTTAGATGATGAGGTGGCGGCCGACTTACAGAAAGGCGATAACGGCACAAGTAACAACCAGGCCCAATCTCTAACACCCGAAGATGCTCTGGAAGAAAGAGGTATGCAACGTTTAGCTCTGGCTGCACGGAAACGCCGTAAGAACGGCCGCCTTCAAAACTTAGTCAAATCCGTACGTTCTAGAAACAGTAGGCGACGCAATCGCCGAGAAAGAAAATCAAAATCAGAAAATCGAGCTCGCAAAGCATTACGGACCATCACGTTCATTTTAGGGGCCTTTATTTTATGTTGGACCCCATATCATATTATGGTGTTAGTAATTGCAATCTGTCAAGGTTTTAGCTGCATCAATCTCAAGTTTTATAATTTTACCTATTGGCTGTGTTATCTGAATAGCCCCATCAACCCATTCTGTTATGCGTTCGCTAATGCACAATTCAAGAGGACGTTTATTAGAATTTTAAAGTTGGATTGGCACAGGACGTAGCGTAGCGTGATTGTTGGTGCTTACATAAAAACATACTAGGAATTAGTGAAACTTATTTACATAAATATATATGTATGCTAATGTGTATTCAATATGTTCGTGTTAGTGGTTAATCCTTCCAGATTCATATTTATACTGTATTATCTCGCCGCGGCACACGCCGTGTTGTATCGCCGCGGTATCTATCACGTATTACGCATATAAAGTGAAAGTGGCATGACCATATATGATGTTAATAGATAATTAACTTGTAATTAGATTTGTTTATATTCTATGCCGATATTATCCTGTGTTCTACGTAATAATGCTCATGACGTAGCCTCGTTATATCATAGCTGATATAATATAATGAATATACAATGTATAGTGTTTATGTACATAGGCCACTTTATTAATGACGTCATCAAAACGTGCTTATATTGGTGTATTTGCAATTCATGTGATAATGGAATTAATGTACGTATCTTAGATTACAGTGCTTACAATCACCAACTCTGTTATTATTCATTACGGTCTTGATAAAGGGACGTAACTCTAATCGTATAATTACAACACTCCAAAAGCAACGCATAATCCTTATTTGTAATGTAAAGGTTTGGTGGCATAAGGATTTCTCCTAAGTGCACATGGACTCGTACAGTCACAAAAAAATACGGCATAAGGTGTGATGGCGCTGTGTTCTCCTCAAATAAATAATGGCACCAGTAAAAAAGTACGCATATCCAGCCTCTGACACGACAGTTGTCCTGACTTGTACGTCTAATTCGGATTGTGAAATTTCATCAAGAAAATAGTGTTATTAATTTTTAAAAACAAACATCCAACGAATTAATTCACGTTTCATACCTATCAGACATCGTAAGGAGCATAATATTTTTAGGTATTTTTGTGAATATTTTTTTTTTAAATCTAATTATGTGCTTTTAGAAACGCATGTTGATAGTCGTTGTTAACCGCCTAGTAGAGCCAGAATTAATATTGACGATTCTCAACATTAAATATTAGATTCTTTTCATAACGTCGATGCGACTGCAAAGGCAATAATTCCAAGTTTTTTTAAAATGTTCAGGAATGTGCTAAAGACCTCCCCTGAATAGTGCTTGAACATTGAGTCTATTATACAAGCAATCATCACCAGTAGCGTGGAGGGAATAAGGCTCCGCGGGCGGCAGTGCAAGGCATCCAATTGAGGAAGACGGGCTTGGCGGAAAATCAAAAAGTGAAATTAAAATTTTGAAATTTGAAATTATCGCCGTTAATAATTTTCTATGGGCTTCTCTATACTAACCACTTGTTATCTCCATTTCTCACATGCATCGATAACCAAACAATGGCAGGGGGGCGGGGGATAGAAAACTTCTGGAAGCCATTGTTCGTCTACAATGCAACATTCTTGCAGTAGTAAAAGACACGCTTTCAAGATAGAACAAAAAATGTTCCAGATGGTTGAGAATGTGTCATTTTATGGTATCTTCTCATGATGCACGACATGTTGGCTTCCATGGAGGATATACAGGGCTACTATAACTGGACAAATATGTGGACAGAAGTAAGCAGAATTGCTACATTTTTTTTTTTTTTGCAGCCGCATTGACATTGAAACTTGCCCAGGAATTAGGATTAAGACATTATAATTAAACAAAACGAACACATATTTAAAGATATATTATGTAAGATTTAGATAGAGAGCCAGTCTGATTAAAACACAGATCCTATTTAGTTTCGTTTTTTATAGTTCAAAATTTCGTTTTACTTGTCTTTACTACACTAGGGTCTGAAAGAGTTGTTATATTACAGGCGTTCTGGTTGACGCGAGGGATTAGCCAATGAAGCGGTCTGTTAGGGCGAGTTCTTGTCATGCGATGCACTAAACCACTAGAAACGTCAACGCTGATTGATTAATCAATGTATGACGTCATAGGGTCAAAAGCCGCCCGTAAGACCCCTTACGCGACCTTCTAGTACAACCGGTCATATCTTCATGTAGTGTAGGCCATCGAAAGTATAAAAAAACGAAACGAAACATAGATCTGTATCTTAATCAGACTGATATGTTCGCCTCATTTTAACTAAAATATAGTCCTTTATAAAACTTTTGTTGTTTTAATGTATCAAATACATCAATAAGAAACTATGTGCAAAGTTTGGGGTTTCTGGATCAAAGATATTTCTCATAAACAGTGAATGAAGGTTGAGTAAATTCTTAACTTAAGTCTGAGAATGCTTCGTGAACTCGGGGCTAGATATTTTATAATTGTTTATTTGTCGCTGGAAAAAAGGTCTCATATTTAATTTTATTTTCTTCAGGAATACCTGTAAATATTTTAGAAAAAAAAACAAATTTTAAAACAAAAAGTAAGCTACCTATTCGTACTGCCGTTCGAAAGCTATTCGTTCCATTTGTTTAATTTTTGCAATTTTAAACAAAACCGCATTTACGTGATTGACGTATCTGTTTATTTATCAAGACACGGAATAACTAAATATTAAAGGGATAATAACACTCTTGCTGGCTTGACAGCTCAAGAAAAAAAATAGCCTTATTCAAAGTACTAGATATGTAAGTATCCTACCTGTTGTGTAAATTATCCATTAAATCCTATTTTACTTGTCCAAAGGGTTCAAAAATATTTTTAAATCCAAGTCACATTTGAAAAGCTTTACGTCAGGCTTTTCACATCATTTAGTTGAATTTTTCCAATTTTTTAAATTAGGTGTGTTAAGATGAATTTGTATCATCAATTAATTAGAATATTGTAAAATAGTACAATTTGTTGATCAGAATAAAGATTGGGACATATTATTCAGTTACAACAAGAGTGGTATTGGGTCTTTAAATTAACGTGGCCCGAATAGAACAATTAATACACGCAATTATGAATATACGATGATATAAACTATGTTGATATAAAACAAGAATATTTACTAATTGTAAACAGAACAAATTGAAATATATTCATATTAGGCTATAAATTATATTAATATAAAACAGGAATATTTACTAATTATAAAAAGAACAAGTTAAATATATTCATATTAGGCTATAAATTATATTTAAATAAAACAGGAATATTTACTAATTGTTAACAGAACAAGTTAAATATATTCATATTAGGCTATAAATTATATTTAAATAAAACAAGAATATTTACTAATGGTAAAAGGAACAAGTTAAAATATTTTTATATTAGGCTAGATATCGCTATACGTTAAATGTATTAAATATCCAGTCAACATGTTGAGACTAACAAGTTTCTTTTATTAAAAGGGTGACAGATCCCACAGCGGAAAATTTCGAGGATTGCCTCACGGGTTTCATTGTAAATAGGACTAAATTTCAAATCATGAAGGACCACCTTTTCGTAAGAAATAGTGTAAAGCAATAGTGCCTTCTGGCAGGAGAAGTGCTACTGGGTGTTCTAGAAAGTATAAGCTAGGCCGTCTCCGATCTAGCACCCCCCCCCCCAACCTCACATTGCACACGTTACCATGGAAATAAAAGTGACAATATGGTTGTCTCAACATGTCGGATGTTGTGATGAGATGACGTTAGACTCCATTATTCCACTTTTTGAACTCTAACAAAACGAATTGAAATAGGACAATTGCTCGACATTTTAGTTTAAATTACAATTTAAATGAGACTAAGGAACCATGGAGATATGACATGATAAGATAGGCCGAATATTAAAATCAAATTCTGGAATTCTTCTCAACTTTCTTTTACATAACGCAGTTCTAATTTATAGCAAGGACGGTCATGTTGGCGTACAAACGACTTCATTGACATTTTGTAGCGTCTCAACATTCTGATCACGCCCTCGACAATCTTTAAATATACGCTTCGAGTGATGACAGAAATTTATCTCAACTTATTTTTGAATTATGATCTCCCAAGCGGTCACGATGAACTTCGCAAGGCAGACAGATTACAATATTAGACTTGATTTGACTGTTTACGCTTAGAGTAGCTGTCCGTCAATTGCATTTTTTGGACAATATCTAATTATCACAGCTTAAAGAGACATTATGTAAAATTTAGACAAAGAGCTGGTCGTTCTTGCTAAATAGTTGAAAAGATAGATAATGCAAAATGAATATATTGCAAAATTTCATTCGAATTACTTTATTCTGAGCCAATTTATCACTGTTTGTAATTTCTAAAGATGTGTGCATTTATTGTTTATTATCGTACCCACAGTACTGGTATATTTGAGTCTTAGCGTCGCTTCTCCATTTTGGAATTAAACCATTAAATAGCCTAACCCTTCTAATCTATTTAAATTCTCGAGCATCCAATGGCATCAAGAGTTGCCTATGGTCTTGTCAGGTTAATGTCTAATTAATAATTTATATAACATTTAAGCCCTAAACAAGGGCATGCAATGGGCAAATTTAGCTCTTTGATAACGTATGTCTAATCCACGGTAAATTATACCCAGATTGATTTGTTATTTAATATTGAATTAAGAAAGAGAGAGAGAGAGAAATGGGGTTTAACGTTCACTCGACACAAACTAGGTCATTTCGGGACTAACATATGGTTTAATTTTATTTCATTAATTCGCATGCGCGTAGGGGTCTTTAGCAGTGGGAGGAAACCGGAGGACCCGGAGAAAACCCATGAGGTTGGACAGGCGAACCTACTCCTTGTCACGTACAACCGGGGAATCGAAACCACGCCATCCACCACCACCCCACCCCCCTTAATTAAGAACACAAACTCATTTTTGTCAACAACACATAATCTTAACGGATTGAATTCAATTAAATTAAAATAGGGTCCATTGAACGAATTTAACCAGTACTTGTAGGCAAGAGAGAGAGAATTGGTGTTTAACGCCCACTTGACACAAACTAGGTAATTTCGAGACTAACACATGGTACAATAACTCGTTTGCGCGTAGGGGTATTTAGGAGTTGGGGGAAACAGGAGAACTCGGAGAAACCCCACGAGGTTGGACAGGCAACCCTACTCCTTGTCATGTACAGCCGGCGATTCGAAACCACGCCACTTGACTTAAAGATAGACCGTCTGATACAAGGTGCGCGCGTCAACCATTCGGCCACCTACCCCCCCCCCCCCGCCTCCGCACTTGCAGGTGGTGCTGACTCGTTTATAATGTCAACAGTGTGTTGAAAATTTTCTATGTCTATCCTTTCTTGAACACCTGGTACCACTTCCCATTAATAGATTTCGATATCACCTGACGAGTCCACTTATTTTCGTTATTCGATTTTAGCGAATTCTTCAGCTGGACTTTGAATTTGACCACTGCTCAGGATCGAATCTGGTCAAGAATGTTCCTCGGTATTTGTCAATTTTTCCCCTTGTTTGTGGTATAGAATAGGAGATCTGACGCCTAATCGAATGGTGCGGAAAACCAATATCCCGTGTACACATCGACGTGCACGTAAAAGAACCTTAACAGTTGAAATTCGATAAACAGTAGACAAAAATCGGGATCCCAGGGCAAAATTTCCCTCATAGCATACTGCATGGCGTATACCCGTTTTCATTGGCTTAATCGGTGGGGAAAAGTAAACCGTTAAACTCAATTTTAATTCATTTAATTTCCGTTTGATCTTTCTGATGTTGGTGTAGGATGGTTATCTTTATTCAAGACACTTGGTTTGGTACCTTTGGTTTTCCTGGTTCCTGGGTTTGGTCTTGTAATATAACAACTAGTCACGAACGATTGGCCTTAGAAATTAACAAAATTTAAAATTTGATACTAATGAAAACATCAATAATGCTTCTGGCTAAAATTTGTGAATTTCATTTTATCTTAAACCAAAAAAAAACCAAGATAGAAAGAAAAACAAGAAGAGGTATTCTAGAATCTTGTTTAGGAATTATATTCCGGCTTTGATTTGTTAGGATTTTAAATAGGAAATTGATGACTGCTGTTGGCTATCGAATTCTCATTAGGATAAATTTCACTTGTCACAAAGAAAAATGATTCCGCGTCAACAGCTTCGATATTCTCTACGTCGGAGACACTTTTTTGTCTGATAATTGAATTTGAAACAAACCGACTTTGAAATTTGTGGTTATTAATGTAGAAATCATAACAAACTATTTAAAAAAAACCAATTCATTAAACAACAATTTGAAAGGGGTGTTTTTGGCATATTTTAAATTGATGATGGTTGTTATTAATTGGATTGTTCATCTCGTGGGTTTAATTATTGATACAGACACGACGTGTTGTCTGTCCAGTGTTGACGTAATGTTGATTAAGGTCCTTCTTTGATCATTTGACAATTAGGATGATTAATAATAAAGCGACAAGCCAAAAGAGTGGAGAGGGTTGGGTTGCCAACTAGTCAAACGCGTGCGCTTTAGATAATAAGGTCTGCCATTGAGTCAAGCGGTGTAGTTTAAATTCCCATCGTGAACGTGACAAGGAGTAGGGGCACCTGTCCAACCACGGGCCCTATTCTCCCATAGCTAAAGGCCCCTACGCACAGACGAATTATTGAAATAACATTGAACCACATGTTTGTGTCTACTGGGCGTTAAACCCCATTTCGCTCTCAAAATTTCTCGCGTTCATCAATTGTAATTTAGAAATTGTAGGTTCTTCGAATTCTCAGTGCAAGTTACGAGAGATCTTATAAACGTTAAAACTCACTTATTTTATTTTCACGGTATTGTTACCTTTTTTGGTCCAGGAGATGACCCAGGTGCCAGTCATCATGTTGTTCTGATTCTTGTTCTTCGACACTTTACGAAAAACTAAAAAAGATTAAGTCTCCGTTACTTTAAGGACGATTCACATGAAACGTCATTTTTCCATTTATTTATCGATTCGTGGACTTTCTTATTTGATATTTCCGAACAATTCCAAGATTCGCTCGTACTAGTTGGACCAGTTACTGGGTCCAAACAGCTGGTCATCTTCTTGTTCTTTTGGGCAAGGAAAAAAACCTAAGCCTTCGCCAATTCAAGAACGGTCGACATGAAACTACGCATGCGTGTTCCACGATGGCGCCATGCTGAATTCTTGGTCCATGGTACTCTCGTACTTGTTTTAAAATGAGATGGTAAATAACCTATGCTGCATGCTTGCTTGTTAAATTGTTCTAGCCTGTTAAATGATTCTAGCTGTTTTTGTTTAGGTATATTAAAGTGCTATTTTGTAATCTTATCTATATTTTTATCTCTGCATCTCGTGCAGCTCGTGCTTATATTTATCATAGAGGTATAATACTAGATATTGTTAATGGCCGGATAATTGGCCGTTTTAAAGAAACCGTCTCAGATTCAGAATCTAGAGTACAAAGGTACAGATCGTTTTGATGTCGATAACAAACAGCTTAACACTGATCAAACAAATCCTTCTTGAAAAGCACACTGATAATCTGCATGAACATAGAGCCACTGATCCTCAATTCTATATTTAGGGCAATATCTAATCCAATGCTTAAAGAGGGATTATGTAATATTTGGATAAATAGTTGGCATTTCTCTCTTTAACTATTTAAAAAAAAATACATAATGAATAGAGAATATGATGAAAATTTCAGTCAAATTACTTCATTCTGAGCCGAGTGATCGCTGTTACAAAAATAATGTAGCCTCGATTGTCATTGCTACCGTTGTTAAGATAATAAACAAAGTGTCAATCGTATATAAATCTGTTGAAAATCTCGAGTATCCGATGGCATCGATAGTTGATTATGGACTTTGTGAGTTAATAAA